ACTTAATACAGCCTGCATCAGACAAGGCTTAGTTAATAAATGTTTTTTTTTTGTTTGTTTTGTTTTAAATTGAGACCTGTGTAACATTTTTTTAATCATTCTTATTTTTATCATGTTAATGGAGGAAGAAAAGGTAGTATCGGCTTCAAGAATCGGCCAAAAAATATCGGCTGCACGTATCGGCGTATCGGTTAGACTGATGTTTAAAAAATCGGTATCGGCCTTCAAAAACCTGTATCGGTCGATCTCTAGTTATCAGAAACACAAAAACTAACCTTCAGAGTCTATGGTGACATCTGTCCCTCCTGTGCAGATGTTCCGCAGCAGACTGTCTTCTTTGCTTAAGGTCTGGACGGTTGTATAATGCAAGGAGCCTCCCACGTTTAACTTGACGTACTTGCTCCCCAACAGACCCGCACCTCTGTGTGTGTCCGTGTTGTGGCAGGCAGGCTGGGGAACAGCGGAGTCGGCAGCATGACTGCCAACTGAAGCCTCCGCAGACATGAAGCTGTGGAGTCACTTCCTGTCTGAAACGCAGAACAGCACGGCAACGTGTTTACTGCAAACATGGAGTCAGTATCACCTTTTACCACCTGGGTAATTTCTTTCTTTGTTTTCCTTAGAGAACCTGGATTACTATGAGGGGATTTATCAGCATGGAAAAATAAAAATATCATAAGATATGGCTCTTATAAACTGAACACTTGTGATCATTGTTTAAACACCAAGATAACATTTAGAGACAAGCGTTGTTTTATTTATCCAGTAGTGTTCAAAGCACTCAAGCATGTGAAACATAAGATGACTCATTACCTCTCCTGAGGATTTGCATTTGTCCCAGTAAAGCTATAAAACAAAAATGACTTCCTATGAGAAACAGCTATAATCATTAACTACACTGTAGACAGTGACGAGGCAAAATGTTACAGGTAATTTCTGGATCTTTGCTACATTTGATCTATTAGCTTATTGATTAAAGGTCCGAACACGTGTGCTTAAAACTTGTGATTTGCAAGTTTAAATGTTGTGGTGTTGTCAGCTGACAGCATTGAATATGAACATACACAATACTCTAGGTTTGAGTTCTTCGTTTTACTTCAAACAATTTGAAGCTTATAGAAAACAGATACAATATAGAATGAAATACAAATAAATCTGGCAAATCCTCGTCAGCTAGATCATGATAGATGCAATATTAAACTAGTTTAGTTTATATTATTGTATACTTACCACACTGAACATCCAAAGGTTTCTGCAAAAGTGAAAGCTAAAYGTATTAAGTAAAAAATTGATAATCAATTATCGAGCTACGTAGACAGGAAAAAAACAGACAATAAGTTCAAAACGCAACTTCCGACAATYTCATGTCGCAACCTCCTACAAGAGGCAAACAACAGAACAGCTAATTTATTTTAATGCACTTTAAAAAGAGGAACTGTCTTCAGCTTTGTACCGCCTAAACTGTGGTGAGAAATMTAGACGTGTCCATCACAAATCCTGAAATCCTACGTTCACATCTGACCACTCCATTGTTTSAGAGTTTATTTACTGATGCTAATGAAAACAGCTAAATAGGTCAGTCGGAAACGAAAACCACACTTCCGCTGTTTTCTTCTTCTACGCTCAATTGGGCAKYGAACTACCGCCACCTGGTGGCCAATCTGTACACCTGCATAGAAAAACAGAGGAAGTCATCTCACAACTTGGTTTTCAAATAAAAAATGCCTCAGGTAGCATCCTGAAATATCAGGAAATGTTTAAAGGCATAAACCAAATCGTTTTTTGCCCACCGGTGGAAAAAAAGACTGTAACATGCTGTAATAAATGTGTTAACTTCCTTGCATTTTCCAAAGTTATTTGTCTTTTTTATTGTGGTTTTTTTTTTGTTTATGTAAATATGGAGGTAAAGTCTGCCAATAAAGTTTGAAATAAATTGTACAGGACAGAGAATATACTTTGTCATTTTATACATAATGTAAGTACATTTTTTAAAATCAGTTCTAACCATCCATTGTTTGAGAGAAGCTTAAAACAATGAGTKTTTCTAATGTTGTGTCCTTCATCCGAGGAATGCAAAGGTGAGCAATGGGCCCACGTACAAGGCCCCCGCTCATATTGGCTCTTTATCCATCCTCACTCACCATAATTATCCCGTGTAATAACCTTTAATAACCTTGTCACTTGTACAATTAAGCTAGTGCACATTGTGTTTTAGCTCTTAATTCAGTGAATTAGTGTTGTCTTCCAAGTGGAAGGAATTTAAAYAGCTTAAAAAGTGAATGGTCTCAACTATTTTTATTGCATGTTGCAAGGATTTCCTGTCAGCAGCTGAAGAAGAATGTAACACAGCAAATGAGGTTTTATAATACAGCATATATTTAACTCTATAGATGCATCTTGTCAGAATATGCTGTATGCTGTGAAGGTGTGCGTCGTTAGTCTCAAAAGATCCTCTGTGATGTRGAAGCTGTAATTTTTGTGTGACAATACCTGCAGGTGTCATTGTTCCTTAGAAAAATAAAAACAGTTGTCACACGCTTCACACCATTCAACAAAGACTTTATTTCCAATTCAGCAAATGATTTACTGTCTTCAAAAGAGTGTATTTATATATGAAGCAAAGAAATGCTACTGATGGCAAGAGAAGAGTGAAGTCAACAAAGCAACAGTCTTCAGGATCCCTCGTATGGCACAGTGAATATATCACATTCACTGTTCAAACAATCGTTTATAAATAAATACATAATGCATCACAGCAAGCAGCCAGATTTGGAGTTTGGCATCAACAGAGTGCATACAACATCAAATTTGAAAACAATGATACCCTTCAGTAACTAGAATGATGAGGATGGAGAGATAGAGCATTAGGCAATATAATTTACAATCAGTGCATGCTCGAAGCGTAATGACATTCATGTCCTCGCCTTTTCCGTTACGCTGTGTGGTGGGATGCTGGGTGACGACTGCAGAAACAGCAATAAATAAAAATAAAGACTGCCTTTGTAAACACTACTCCAACAACAGATAAAACACTAAAAGACATTAAAATTATTCAACATCATATTTTGGCACAAAATTTTCATTATGTGTATATAATGAAAATATAGAACCTCCTGCCTCCATGTTTAAGTATATATATATATTTATATATGTTTGAGGCTAATCCACCTCAGCAAATATTAAGTCAGATAATATTTACATTCAAATTGTGTGATTTTGTTACACGCGAAAAGTAAGGGAAAGACTGTTGGTTTCAAAACTTGTTCTCACGACTGAAAATAAAGGTATTTTTTCCCCTTTATTGTGACACTTTGAAAGAATAAGAACCACTTAATGAATCGAAAAAGAAACATTCAGCATGAAGAGGTACAAGATCATGACTAACTTTTGATTGTGACACAAAGTATTGCCATGCTCTCTAATATTTTGGCCTCAGAATGATTTTACAAAAAAGAAGTGAAAGAAAAATAAAATTAGACTTTCTCTCTGCCTTGTTCTCTTCTCATATATTCACATTTAGGTACCCCATAGTTATTTATTTGTTTTAATTGTCAATTTCATACCCTTCATAAGGCACCAGTCCCGATGACTCAGAAAGTTAGATTATTAAGCAGGACTCACATTTGGCTGATGACCTTTTCAGTGCAACTCATCAAAATGAAGCATTTTTACAACTGCTAAACCTGCTATACAATGATGACAAAACATATTAAATAAATAAAACAGGAGGAGTGAGGCCTTTTTGTACAAAAGGACTTTGTCTTCTTTCAGAATTTAATGCTTCTGTGGTTTCAATTCTCACTCAGAAATGATCCTTAAATGGAGACTTCGTACTCCCGTGTGTCCTGCAGTTAAAGAGAAGACCAGCTTTAATTTCTACAGTAGAGAAAAAACTAAAACGACCAAAAGCTTAAGTGATTCAACGTTAAAGAAAACACTGAAATGGTAGTCCTTCGCTTACCCCGGCTTCGTAGAGCGGGTTGTTGAAGTCCGACTCGACTGTAATGGGACTGTAGGAGTGTGTGTGAGACAGAGACTTCCAGAAGAGCGGCTTCCATTCTAGTCTACAAATGCTGCACAAAAAAACACATCAAATAATTTACACTGATTAAAAACAAAAGAGATAAAATATATATATAAAGCAGTGTTTGAGTCTTTGTTAACAATAGAGGTATAAAGAGACACTCATTAAAAATTGCCATGTTATTCAGATGTCTTATGTCAACCTTAATTAAACATTTCTCAATATATCCTATTGGTCAGAGTAGAGTTTGCTAGACTTTTATTCATGTCTTACATCTTTTCTTATCACCTTTTTAAGTTGGAGTCATGGAAACTCGTGATTGAAGTGGACATTAGAGGGAAACTGCGTGGTTTTTATTATTAATGTTCTCATAACATAGAGAATAAGCTAAAAATAATTAAGATAAAATTAAACAGCTTGGGTGGAAAGTGAGGAGACTCTTCAAAGTTGATAAATTACAGTTTAAACTTGGCCCAAATGGTGCCACAGAGAAACTTTATCCCCATCATGTACCTGCAGAGGCTGCAGGAGGGGCGAGGAAAGCTGTTTTCTGCTGTGTTTTCTGAACTGCAAGGAACATCTGAACTGAATGATTTCATCAGATGTCAAGCTGACTGCAAACTGTGCGGAACAGCTTTCAAATAGTTGAGAAATGACGTGATTATGCTTATAGTTAACATGTGGTTGTTGAATTTGAGCACCTACTTTGTATAGTACATATAAATTCCACCAATCAGGAGGATGACCAGGATGATGGGCAGGATTATTGCCAAGGCGATGTTTTCACTCAGGATCTGATGGGACGGCTTGAAAGACTGAGACACTGCAAAACAAATAAAAGGTTTTAAATCACACAGATAATTAAATAAACTTGTTAAAATTTCTCATATTGTAGCTTTGAACCATACTGTATATCTTGTAGGATTTCTACACCTTAAAAAAGAGGGGAAAATGGAAAATAAATCACCTTCTGATTTGTGATCATCCAAAAGCTCTTCATATGCCACTGAGAAATAAAACACACATAATAAAACCTTCACCAGTAACACCATAACTGGCTAAACAATGCACTGCATGACTAAACTGCTTAGACAATCAACATCCTTTTTTAACAATTAAACTCCATATTTCACTTGGAGTGAATAAAATGTTTCAGGTTATTTTCCTGTTCTGTTCTCTGCTCCAGGGCCTTCATGAAAATGATTTAAAAAGTTCAAAGAACCTTTACCTTTGCAAAAGGGGGGCGGGTTGTTCCACTGAGAGGGGTGGCCGGGAACACATGTGATAATGACCTCACCGATGAGTTCATAGCCCTCGTAGCAGAAGAAACGCAGAGTCTCTCCGGCCTGGTAGCTGTGTTTGTACAACGTTTGGTASCCGTTGTCGGGGACTCCAGGGTTTGGGCATGGGTCATATTTTACTGTTCAGAACAACATAAAACACAGTTATGGACTCTAAACAGGCAGGAACCAGCATCATTATGAAGGAAGACCATCTCAGAACTGTTAATGAGGACTTACAGACACACTTTGGGCTGCGGTCGCTCCATTTGGGGGTGCCGGTGTCTCGTCCATGGCAGGTGATCTGGCTGGGACCCTCCAGTTGGTATCCTTGGTTGCAAGAGAAACGCACAACTGTCCCAACTGCAAAACCTGCTTCAGGACGCACAGAGCGCGCTCCGTTCACCACCTCTCCTGGATCAGGACACTGCTGGACTGCGAGGGGTAAATTTGTAAAACATCATGTAAAAAGGATGAAAGGTCAGAGGTGCCTTTAAGATGTTTAAAGTTCATCGCACAGTTTGTCTCACCTTTAACACAAGTAGGCGGAGAGCTGCTCCAGGATAGGTCCCACTGGCAGGTGATGATGTCTGAGCCGCTGATGTCATACCCTGGTTGGCACTGATAGGTCAGCACGCTGCCCCTCACCGGGGAGGAGTGGGACGAGCTGATCCAGCCAAAGTCAATTTGAGGGAGGGTGGGGCAGGTGTCATTAGGCTCGACCTCTACAGACAGAAACACAGACACAGAGGTAAACTAGAGCAGTGGTTCCCAAACTTTTTATCTTCTGACCCACAAAATGTTCATTGCAAAAACTTGTGACCCCAAATATTACCAGAGTGAGTACACAAATTTTGTTAATAACCCTAAAAACAAAGGCTACACAAATATAAATACTTATTTATACTTATTTTGTGTTTTTGTAATAATTATAGGGAAAATATTACATCACCAATTATTTTATTACCCTTTATTTCTGAAGTACAGTGGTTCCCAAACTTTTCGGCTTTTGACCCACAAAATAACAGTAGCAGAGACTTGTGCCCCCAGTTATTT